ACATCTCAGTTCTTGGCTGTGGTGCCAACTCCACGTTTCTTTCATGAGGCAGGTGTTTCATTCCACAACAATGTGTGTGAGGGTTTCTGGGCCTGTACACTGACCACAGGTTGGATCTTCTTTACCAAAATGTAGATGAGAGAGAAACACACATGGTTCTGACACTGAAGCTGAGCCCGTTTGTTTCTATACGCTGTGGTCTGGTTTCGTTCTTTAGCTCCTCGTTAAAGGTTTGGTTTCTGTAGGAACAGAAGTCTTAGTAGGTTCTAGAAGTCCTTTAAGGGAGGGTTAGGGTTTTTGCAAAAGTATTTAATTTGTTCATGGAGTCATTTCTGGGAACATTTCAGACAATGGATCTCTGAGGACTACAATGTTTGGACAGAACTTCTGAGGGTCTTGTGAGGAGGGCGGTCTGGGGTCCGGAGGGCGGTCTGGGTCCATTAAGGAAGTTCACCGGTCTTAGGAAGGTTTCAGAGCGTTTTGTTTTTCAGATGCTTGAGAAACAAAAACCCTTAAAATATTTCCAGTTCCGTTGATCAGTCTGGTTCTTTGGTGAGTTCACCAGCTGGATGAAGACGTGGGTGAACCTGGTGAACCGTTATCAGCCAATCAGAGGACAGGGCTCTGTTGTCAGGAGAACAGCTGTTTGATAACTTGTGAAAACGATGAATCACATAATCAGTCAGAGGACAAAGACTCGGAGTGGACAGATTCCACCCTTCCCCTCCTTCATTCATACTGTATGTAGGTCATCCTCGGGGGGTGGAGCCCAACACAAAGGATTATAGAAATGAGATGAGGAGGAGGAGGAGGGATGAAGAACTAACTCTGTCCTCTTCCACACATAGGTCTGGTCCTGCTCTTCTACCTGATCTTCTACCTGTTTCTGGCTGGGATGTTCACTTTCACCATGTACATTTTGCTGCTGACGCTTGACGACTACAAGCCCACCTGGCAGGACCAGCTGGGCACTCCAGGTGAGAACACCTGACCCATCTCAGTGTCCACAGTGGACAGACAGATGGACAGTAGGAAGAAGGCCCATCCTCTGGACACATGGAGTTAACCAGATGCTCCTGGTCCTGGTCCACCTCCCCTGAATGGTTGAAATGTTCACCTGCTCAACATACCTGAATGTTCCCCAACATTAGAACACCTGCCGTGATGCTCCGCCCACACAGACACGGTGCAGAAAGGTGATTGGTTACTCAGATGTCTCTCTGTGTTTCAGGGATGATGATTCGTCCAAAAGGTGATCAGCTGGAGATCACTTTCTCCGTGTCGGACACGGGGAGCTGGGATGGCTTCGTCCAGAACCTGAACGACTTCCTGACCCGTAACAAACCTGTTAATTAATCAATTATCTGTGATTGATCTTGTCTTGGAGTGTTTGTGGGAGTTAGTGTGCTGTGGCCTGACGAAGGGAGAAGATGAAAGAAGAAACACAAACATTGTTGTGATCAACAGTGACTTAAATACTTCATATAAACATTAAACACCAACATCATAAACCAATGTTAGTCATGGAGTTCCTCAGGGTTCAGTGCTTGGTCCCATACTCTTTACTTTAGGTAATAATAATATCTGGGATCAATTTTCATTGTTATGCTGTGAATGCTTCTGTTCAGAGCCCTGAGACGACTTCTGGTGGAGCTACAGAAATAAACTGAACACATAAATAATTAATTATCAATAAGTAATCATATGTTGGAAACAGTGATTAAAAGACTTCATATGAACAAATTATTAATTAAACACATAATCATTAAACAATAATTAATTAGTCTCCGTTCTGATTCTTAAATGAAACGTTCTGTTGTTGCTGTCCCGTCTCTTCTGAATGTTTCATTTGTTTGTTTTTAACTCAAATGTTTCCACATGTAAATTATTTACATCTAATTGTTTACAGTTTTTAACTTTTTAACCTGTGTGTGTGTGTGTGTGTGTGTGTGTGTGCGTGCGTGCGTGCGTGTGTGCATGCGTGCAGCCTATGATGACAGTACTCAGGTTCAGACCAACGATAATTGTCCTCCTGATCAATACTTCATCCAAGAAGACAGTGGAGAGGTAAACTGATTTCTTTTCTGCAAGGTTTATTGATGCTGAATGAATGGATGAATGGATGGATGGATGGATGGATGGATGGATGGATGGATGGATGGATGAATGTGTTCCAAACTAACTGCAGTTGTGTTAAAGTAGGCATTCATCCATCCATCCATCCATCCATCCATCCATCCATCCATCCATTTATCCATCCATCCATCCACTTGTCTTAACTCGAACAAAAGGTCGTGAATGGATCTTCTTGGTGTAAAACTCCTCGTTTTAACATCAGACGGGCTTCAGCTCTTCAGTCTTATCTTAAACCACATTTGTTCTCACCAGATTTAATGTAGCATGATGGTTGACTCCCCCGAATGTCGAAGCTCCAACCCAGTCTCTAAGGTTGAGACCCCCCACCCTATG